GCCCATGACTTATTCTAAAGAAGAGAATAAGGAGCATATTATAAAGTGACATGCATTTTGCAATCCAGTTATGCAAAACATACCTGTATATTTATGGATATATATGCACAGAAATTGGCTAAGCGTGAAAGTGATGGCTGTTGAGGTGGTGGTATTTTGGGAGATTTTATTTTGTTCCTTTTTCATTTTGATTTCCACCCTCATTTTGTTTTTTTACGATAAATCTCTATAGATTTTGCAAACATGCATTTATTTTTCAAAATTAAAAAGATTATTGGGAGAGTAGCTTTGGAGAACAAATTGTACATTCATGTAGAATTATAAATGTGCACATTGTTCTTTAGATGCTGGATATTGGCCTACAACTGGGTTTCCAGTAAGATCATAGTACTCTTTTGAAATAGTAACACTGTGAATATATTTTACCTTTTAAACACACACACACGCACACAGACACACCATTTTAAGTTATGAAGAACAGTTAAAAATGCAAATGTGCTATATTTCATTAGAGATGGATTGTAGCTGTTTTATTCTAGTGGCTAATTCATAGACCTTTTAATGTTACCTCATTGTGGAGAAGCCAAATATATTATTCCAGTTCTGAATAACTTGGTAACCTTTTTTGTCTCCCTTTGCGTGAAAAAGGGAGCGGTGTCCATTACGGAAGAAAATGCTGTATCTCAGGGCCAGGAATGTAAAACTAGAGACAGGATTACACATTTGCTTTGGCAAATGCTAGATTATGCTCTGTATCATTCCTTGCATTGCAGGGAGAAACATTTTCCTCTATCCTTCCCAAATATGCCCCTGATGCTTCTGCTACATTTCTGCTTTCAATTCTGGGCTCTGTTTTTAAAAATCAAAAACATCTTTCATGGGTTCCGTGGGAAGTTGAGAGCACTTCATGCTGAAGGAGGTCCTAGAGGGCAGAGCTAACCCTAGGCAGGTAGAGAGGCCCCTAGACGTCTTGCCTGAACACACGCCTGCTCTGCAGTCAGATTCCCTGCATCTGAGTGCCTTGCTGCCTGGAACACAGGCCTCGGCTATGCAGAAGTCACGGGTCCCTCAGGGCAGTGGATGCAGGGAAGGAAGATGCACAGTGCTCAGGGGGACCAGGGGCCCAAACCCCCAAATACTAAGGTTGTGTCTAAATGCTGGTATTTCTTTCCCAAGAGATGCTAAAAAGAAATACGCAGTTTAGTCAACAGCCTTTCTTGTCTTTTGATGCTCAGATGACAGGTTTCCTAAACCTCTCTTCAGCTTTTTCTTCTTGTTGTCCCTCCGCTGATTTAGATGCATCTCCATGAAAATACTACACACATTCCTTTTTGAGGAAATTTCTGGGTTTGCCCTCACAGCAAAGCATCACCGTGTGCGTGTGCTGGCCAGTGTTCATTTCCGGTCTGCCTGTGAGAACATCAGGGTTCATGGAGATCATTTTCTTGTACTGCACACAGCAGACTCCAGAGGGATCTGTGCCATCAGAACATTTGGTTTCTAGTCTCCCAAGTCCTCTTTGTTTTTGATCGTGACATTTCTTCATGCTCAGATGCATACGTGATGTAACATTCTTTGTTGATGTTCTGAAATGTGTTTTAGAGTTATTTTGGCTTAGCACGAATTAAGAATGGGGAACTAAACTTTTCTGATTAAAATGTTACTCTTCGCCCCCCCTCCTGCCTTTCTGTACCAGGCATATCGGTAGGGCTTTAAACCCAAGACTCGTATTTAATAGACCCTAGACTGTTATGTTGGAAATAGGGCAAATGAGAAGTCTCTCTGGGGGATTTGTGAGCCTTTGTTGTGATGGGGGAGAATGCCCTAAAGGGGAGCTCCTAGCAGCCTAATTGTTGAGAAATGATGGAAGTTCAACAGCATGGAAATTTACTTCTCGCTTCAGCTGAAAAGGTGCTTATAAAGGTAGCTGGGCTATTTTAGCAATTTGCCTTGTTTTGAAAATCCAATTTGAAAGCTTCATTAAAGGGCACTAATTTAGTGTCTTAAGGGAATATGTGTAAAGGAGCTTATCAACAATCTTAGATGTTTGCCAGTGTGTAGGTGAGCTCAACTCCCCAAGCTGGCATTACCTGGTTACCTGTATGCCCTTTCATTTCAAACACAATGCCAAGTAAATTCAAAAGCATCCAGACCAAGAGGCTAACAGCACAGCTTCTGCTTGCCGCACGACAGGCCAGTAAATCGGGAGATGAGTTCTTGGGGCAAGGTATAGTGAGTGACTTTATTCGGAAAGCCAGCAGACCGAGAAGAGGGTGGACTAATGTCCTAGAGAACCATCTTACCCCAGTCAGAATGCAGGCTTCTTTTATAATAAAAAGGGGAGGAGGTGTGGTTGGTTGTTACAAACTTCTTGGGGCAGGAATCCTCTGTTCTTGCAGCTGTCCACCTAGGTCAGGCCAGGATGCTCCTGTAAACCTCCAACAAGACAAATTGTTGTTCTCTGTTCTGCAACTTTTTACCTCTATATGAATGGAAGAGTGTTATACTCTTAAAGGTCAGAGCCTTGAAAATAGGCTGTCATGTGTATTCCAGGCTATAGGCAACATTCGTAACTCAAAGCAAAAGAAATAGAATACAAAGGTTAAAGTAAAAGAAACAGATCTAATATGGAGTCAGATTTTGTTCTTCCCTGTTGCACTTCCTTTTTCCCCCATTACCACCACTTCCCACCCCTAAAGGCAGGATGCTTTCAGTGCAGAAACACCTCTGCGTGGGCATCAGCATCATAGATGTCATGCAGAAGTCCAATAAGGTAGACAACAGATTTAGTGAGTTTAGTGGTAGTTAATATACAGCAGACCAAGGGCCTTAAGGAATGGTAACTGTTTGAGATTGTTTAAGGAAATACAAACACCTTCCAAATGCCTAGAAGAGTCACGTACTGTTCCCTGCCTGCCTCATATTCCCAGAAGTATATTTCAGGCCCACATTGGGATGCAAAAGTTAAAATTGGCAAGCTGAATTCTAATTACCTGCATGGCCTCAAATAAACTTGAACCTCCTCTAGTCCCTAATTTGTTGACTACATATGAGAAAAGGTAGAAAAATTTAGCTGAATTAAATGAATATTATTCTTCTTTGTCACACTTTCCTTTCTAAATAAAGGTTAAACTCTATGAGAAATTGCATTAAGTTTCATCATCAAGCTTGTCTATACACTGATAAGATATTGAAACATTCTGTCTTTTTCTTTTACATAATCACCGAAGTATGTACTACGAGTGCTGTTTGAATTCCCCTTCCCCGATCAATGGTTATAATTTCTAATCCAGTTTATAGAATCGAGTTCCTCTGTGTGTGTGTGTGTGTGTGTGTGTGTGTGTATTTCCAGAGTGAAGTTCGATCTAGAAGACTTGGTGTTAAGAATAAGCTCTTCAGGTTTCCTCTTAGTAGATTACCCATTCACCCATTCAGGAGCTGCTTAGGTGTAGTTCTGTCCAAAAAGAAAATCAAGTACACTGATCCTCCTTCCATGCAGTCCCAATCGTGTGAGTTTAAGACAGCACAACTTGTCACAACAATTTCCCCCAAGGAAAGTAGATTTTTTAGAACATGACTTGAGTTGAAGGGAAGAGAATTAGAAATACTTTTGATGAATTTTTCCTTGAATTCCATATGGCTGGAAGGAGGGGAGAAATGCCTGTCAAAATGTTTTTGGAGAGGACTAAGTCGAAGTCTCAAAAACTAGATCAACAGAAGGGTCTTGAATTCTTTAGGCTTCATTTGCTGAAACCTCATACAACAGATTTACTCTTATTCCAGCACGGCTGATCCCCAAGGGAGGCATTTTCCAGTATTTGGGAAATATGTATTCATCAAAGACCAGTACAACCTTATCCTCATTCTTTTCATAGCATTTGCTAGAACCACACATACCATCTGTTTGATATTTTAATCAATCTCTTAGCATATATGAACATGGCTACTGCTGTTGAAATTACATTTCTATAAAAAGTGGAAGGCGCCTCCCTTAATAAATCTGTTTATGATGTCTGTCATCGGGAATGGGTGTCAATAAATGGAACTAAAAGGACATTTATTGACGTGTATTACTAGTTATTTGTTGTCTCTTCATGGGGTTACTAATTGCAGCTGTTAAAAGTTGATTTTCTCTTCTCCAATTTATTGTGGGATGGGGCATTCATTGCGCCAGATCCATAGTTATTCAGTGCCTACATTTCAGAAGCTGAATTGCTGGATACTGTCAGAATGAGCTTTGGCAATTCCATGCAGGCGTGTACAAGTATAATTTTGCTTCCCGTTAATAACAGCCTAGCAAGGAAGCTCAGAATCAAATGCCTTGCTCTCAGCTGGGGGCAGAACGCCAGAATGATCTATCTTGGCTGGTGACCTATAATGTTGGAAAAGTAGGCTCCACATTCACTCAGGAGGGGTGGGCGGTATTCCGGAAATGTATTCCCATTCCTCCACTATTCCTTTTTTTTTTTTTTTTTTCCTTTTGGTAGTGTGCGCCTTGAAACAATGGGAAAAAATGAATTACAGATAATAAAAATAGCACATCTCCAGAACAAACGGGAAATGCAGTGCTTTTATTTCTTGGGTTGTCAACTCGGCGCCCTGCCCCACGCCCTAGCCTGCCGGGGTTTCTGGGGGCACCTCTGCGATTCTCAGTCAGCGCCCGAGTGGGCAACGGGCTGGACAGGCGCCCACGGGGAGTCCACTTGGCGTCGCACGCCGGGACTTGGGGTCCTGCTCAAAACCGCGAATCTCTGAGAGCTCTGAGGCTACGGCTCGACCGGGGTGGAGTGAAGTGTTATTGTTGTGGGATATTCTCTGCAGAGCTGGCCTGGAGAGTGAGCCCCGGAGGAAGGGAGTGGGCAAGGCTTGGCCAAGTGTCCGCCAAGTCGGAGTCGGGAGGCGCCCGGGAGAGGTACGCGGGGGGTCTCGGCCCGGGGCGGGGAGGGATGCGCGCTGGCCGGCCGGCGGGGAGCGGGAAGGCAGGGTGGAGGGGAAGGGGGCAGCGTGCCAGTTTTCTCTCTGATGAATGATGCTCACGCCCTGTGCGTGGCTCACGCGCTTTGTCTCTAGCCCGGGGCCAGGCGGAGGAGAACGGCTGGGGGGACGGATGGCACCACGCGCTCCGAGCGCACCGGGCAGGTGCCCGAGCTCCAGCTCGGCCAACTCCGGCCGCGCCCCGTGGCCGAGGCCCGGCCCCCGCAGGCGCCCGGCCGCGGCCATCTCCCGGGTGTGGCGGGTCGGGGACTGGAGTCTGCCAGCCGAGCAGCTGCCACGCCACATGCCACCCGCGCGCTGCCGCCAGCCCAGGCGGGGACCGGACGCTGCCGGGGCTGCGGGGAGGAGCCGGGCGTGTGGGAGGGCAGGGGCGCGCGGGACCCAGGGACTACCCGAGCCGGCTGGCTCGGGGGATGGGGGGCGGGGGGGAGACAGAGTGACAGAGCGACGGACAGGTGGGAGCAGTTAGACAGCTGGAGACTCGGAGACCGGCACGCAGAGAGAGGGAGGGAGAGTCAGGGGAAGGAGAGAGAGAGGAGGGAGAGGGAGAAACAGCCTCGTCCTCCCTTACTCCAGACGCCCTCTCCTCTGTCCGAGGGAAGCGGCTGGGGCATCGAGTGACAGAGCGACAGAGATGCGGGCACAGAAGACTGGGAGAGGGACCCTGCCTCGCTAGTGGGACCGAGATTCGCGGAGGGACAGACCGACACGAGGGGCAGCTCGGAGAGCTGAGCGCGGGACAGCGAGAAGCCCGCGGTGGGCCGCCAGGCTGAGCGACAGACGGCCAGACAGACAGACGTGCCCGGGGACGGACCGGCAGACAGGAGGCGGGGGCACGCTCGGTCTCCGCAGGCAGCAGGGCGGAGAAGGCGGCGGCGGCGCCCCCAGAGCGCATCCGGAGCAGCGACGAGCAGCAGGGGCCGCGGGGTCGCCGGCTGAAGCCACCGCCGTCGCCGCAGTCCTGGCCGCCGCAGCCCTGCCAGGAGCCCCGCCGACGCCGCAGAAGGCTCCTTTTACTAGCAGTTAAATAAACCCACCAATAATAACAATAATACTAATAACCCAAGCCAAACCAAACAAATACAGCCAAATCGATCCGTGAGAAACAATAATATTAATAAAAGCCAAAAACTAAATCAGATCAATCAAGGCACCGAGACGCTGGGGGGATATCCACTGTTCGGTCAAGGTAATATAATTAAGGTCTTCAGACGTGAACGTTGCACGCCTTTTGTGATTTTTTTTTTCTCTTTCTTAATGCCTTATATCTGTGCTTTCCTTTCTAGTCTGTATTTCTCCTTCCTGTTTGTAGAAAGCTGTTGTTTTATATGTATTGTGTATTTATGTTTTGTCAGAGGAGGGGTAGATTCCCCCTCCCCAGAATGAGGCAAAAATGGAAAGCTGCGAGAGAATTGAAAAGGGCAGGCCTCTTCATCAGAGAAGTCTACAGTGATTTATGCAGGTTTCTCAGTAGAAAGTTTGGAGTGTTTTTATTTCATTTGGAAGAGAGCTGTGCAAGGGGCAGAAAGTTGTCATCTGTTTGTTGTCCTCAGGGGACTTGAGGTCCCAAGGGGTTTAGGGGGAAGAGATGTTCAGTTTTATTTTTACATGGTTGAATTCTGTGTTTCATTGCAGACTCCAAATTTAACGTCTTCCGTCTGAGGTTGTAGATATGGTGGTAGAACTGAGTTGACTGAGACAGGTGTTTAGAAAGTTTCCCAGGAAGAGAAATTGACTCACTGGATTTTTATGCATAGAAATCAAGCTGGAGTAGATGTGGTTGCTGTCAGCTGCTTGGGTTCAGTATTCCGAAGATACAGGATAAGGACAGAGTCCAAGCCTGAAAGGAAAGACAAAGAAGGAATTGAAAGTTAGAGGGATGGGAAGCTAGGAAGTACGATGCAAGGCTGGTAGGAATCACTTTCATGGTAATGTGTTTAGAGTGCAGATATCCATTTTAATTCCTGATTTTTTTGAAGTTTGTTGGTATGACACTTCAGCCTCCCCAGACACAAATGACGATCCCCAGAGTTGGAGTGAATCTGGACAAGATTTCACTCAAATGCTGAGTAAATCCAGATGATCCCCACCTCTTTCTCATCCACTTTGGTGATCAAAATGGCTATGATTGTTTTTAGAAAACAGAGAAATTGAAATGGGAGGAAATCATTTTTCATTTGGTAAAAGTTAGGAAACCTTTGACACTTTAAAATAAATGCACCTACTGCTTTGATTCGTGTCACCACAGGGTTTGCATGTCTTCAGAAGATTTTAATGTCATTTTCGCAGAGGGCAGTCATTTGGAAGCCTAGAGCTCTAGCTATGTAGCCGAGTGGTCTACTGTCTTGGCAGTAATTGCTTCTGCTGCCTCCTAATGTGGATCGCACAGGAGAAATTAAGTATGTACTCTTCCCAGGTTTATATGGATTTTTAAGGTATGTATTTGTGTTCGATCCTATATTTCCTTTCTTATCACATTCTTATACTTCCTTTTATCACTTCAACTAACAGAACGTTTTTCAATTTTCCAGAGAGGGAGTTTAGAATACTCTTTAAGGAATACACTTCCTCCTCACAAAAGATACAAAAGGCTAACCTATTTCTATCCTTGCTTATTAATACCATTACTTGGTTTAAAGTAACTTGGTTTAAATGCAATTTTAAGACATTTAGACTGCTATGCAGAGATGTCTTAATTTCCCCTCATTGGACGTGATTGATGTTGTCCAATAAATCATATAACTAAGTTGCTGTGAATGAATGAATGTTCAACGGAGTACTTGTTTGGGTGAGGCATATTTAAAGAAACTTATGCAGCTCCAGAAATGGTCCTTTAGCTTCTCAGTGACTTAATTTCACTCTACCCTGATTTCTCTTTTACAATATTCAGCTCAGACTGAGACAGGTTTGTGTGCTCTATTAGATTTGCAAATTGCTGATCTCCCAGTGACTTTCCCTCTTAGATACCAGCTGAGTGTGGTTACCTTGAGAACTGTGGCATTAGCCCATTAGAGCATGCTCCACTGGGGAGTTCTGTGCAGTCTATTTTTAATGCTATTTAATGAAGGAGCGAGCACCTCACTCAGCGATACAAGGAGCAGGATGGAAGACAGAGCTGGGCATGGTTATGGATACTGGAGAGGGATCTTTGGAAAGGTACAGACTGGCTACTGGGTATGGTAATTTTCATTAGTCCTAATATATCACACTAACAGAAATCAATTGATTTTAGTGGGAGAATTACACACGAATAGTTTGATATGTGTTTTCATCAACCTTTTCAGTAATTCTTAGAAAGAAGACTCAATAATTTGAGTGCCTTAAAACTTCAGTGAGACAGTAACCAGGGAGTTGCTGCATATATACTATTTTTAATTCAAGCTGTCAGGTGCTTGGGTGGTAAGAAGTGCAGAAATAATTTCAGATTTCTAAAATATTGTACTAGGGAAGGGTTTGGAGCTTGTAAAATGTTCCAGGTGTAAAATAACTAACATCCTTCTAAGATGCTGATGACTTGAAGCTCTGCCTTGTGATTTTGTTTTTCATTTTCCTTTATAAACTTGGAGTCTAGGTCAAGTATTGTGAAAATGAAGTGAAATAGGAAGTTTTGGTTGAACTTGTTAGAATATTTGAGTTGTTTTCTCTCCTTACTCTGAGATAAGCACAATAGATTATGTTACCAAAGGTTAAATATTTTAAAAATGTAGATAGCAGAGGCAGCACTGGTAATTTTTGGAATCTTATAATGAGGGGGGAACATATCTTTATATTATAGTGTGTAAAACATGCAAAGCCATCTGTCTGCAACGTTTGCATATATGCAGAAGACCTGTCTTGAGGGAGAAAGTGAGAATGTTCAATCAGAAAGGTCTCTGCTGTTCATTTTCGTATTAACAACCTACTACAGTCGGGTTACTTCTTTCTACAGAGTAAAGCTAACTAGAAAAATGCCTAAGCAGTTTCAAAAGTAATAAACATAAGAGAAAGTGAGAAGTTTGTATTAAGTGGGGAAATGAGTCATATAATTATTGTTAAATGAAGCTGTTAGAACAATCTACAGAGTTGTCCTGGATCTTGCCAATTTTTACAAGAAATAATCAAAAAAAAAAAAGTACCAAAGGGAAATACATTGCAAAGAGTTACTGTAATTTGCTGTTGTTGCTTCTGTTTTCCACCTTGTACTTTTAGAGGGAGAAAGTAATCTATATTGACTGTAATATTTCCCTTAGTGGTCAGGCTATTTGGACCACTGTGCTGCTACCTTTCTCAAGATTCTCAAGGCAGTGGGCATTCTCATCTGAATTCAATGTGTATTTTGTCTGTGGACAAGATAATGATAAGCTACATGAGTAGAGTGTAGAATGAGTCAGCCACTGAAGACACAGTATACCATGTAGCCAGAAGTGGAAAGGATTGAAAATTCTCATTAGTATGGGGAGACAGTTTTAAGTCCATAAGTTTGGAAATTGCAAATGAACCATTTGTATACACGTTAGTTTAATTCAGATCTGCTTTGTGACAAGGTTAGGAAAGAATCTGGGGCTTAAAGGTGAGGTCGACACCGCGAGCCATCTCTTCAAATGGTAAGTACTGGCATCGTCCTAACTGGTACCACACAGTGGTAGCCTGTTGAGAAATTTGTGAATCTCTAACCAGAATAGGAATTGGTTTCCTTAAAAATGCCTTATGTCACCTGCAAAGTTCTGAACATATTTTAAGTCAGTGATGATTAACTTATAAAATACATGCTTCCTCTCTTTGGACAAAGGATCTTTATTTTTTAGGAAATTGATGGTTCTAGAGGCTTTACATTTCTGCTGACTTTGCTTTCTTTTATTTTTCATGCTAACATTTAAAGTTAAATATGATAAATGATTTCAAGCAGTGATAGAAGTCAATGCTAAAGGGCTGTTGAAGGTATAAGCAGAACATTAGCAAGATGTGCCTGTGACTGGATTTGTTTTTCTCAGGTGGTCTTTGCTTCTGAGGGTCAGTTTCCTTTAAGGTGTATTTATGCCAAGTGCTAATAAAGTGATTTTTTTCAGCGCCTCAGAGTCTTATAATTTAAATTAATTTTACTCGTCTTGGATTAAACTTGGCCCTGGATGTTCAAAGTATTTATTCTATTTACATCACAGCGGTTTCATTTCTCTGAGGATGAGATGGGAGCTGATACAAAGTATTTAAATTGCGTACATTAATATCATATGCTTGATAAAAAAATAAAGTGCTTGGGCCAGAGTATCAAGTTTATACAGCAGTTTTTAATGTTTGGCAGCAGTGTTATCTTGTGGTTTCAGAATTCTCTGTAGTCTGGTGATATTTTCCTAAGTTATAAAATGCCCATCTAACGTTTTGAAGGTACCTTTCTCTAAAATTACTGGGACATATCTGTGCCCTGGGAAATAGCTATGCAGGTAAGCCAAAAAGCGAGTTGAAATAATTACATTGAGACAGTTGAGGGGATATCAAAAAAATAAAAGGACTGACTTCTATTTAGCAAACTGACTCTACTTTCAAACTGAGTCCTTAGCATCATGTTATGTTCTTTTCTTGCTGCCAGCATAGACTTTGGTATCGCCAGGTGGAAAGACTGGTAATCACGGTCTGTGGCCACAGTAGATCAACATTTTAAATTTCTCTACATACTTTTCTGAAGAAAATTTCTTCTGGTAGTTTTTTATGACCCCCGCTTAATATACATGTCAATGCCAAAGGTTATATAAGATTTTTAAAGTTCTGTAACCAAGTGATATCTATTAGGATAAACTTGCATCTGTGACTTATTTAAATGCCAAGGAATTAATCCAAAATTATCTCACTCAAGGCACAAGTTCATAATTATCCCTCAGGCATAAGTTCATACAACGTTTTTAAAGTAGTATAATTTACAATTGCTTCTTTTATCTAGCAACAGAAAATATTTCATTTTCTCCAGGTAAAGGGGAGAGGGTTCCACTAATCATTACCCTTTAAAAAACAGGCCTCTTACCACTTTGTCACATTTATCAGTACCTTAAAATTATACAACAGTTTTTACATTAAAAATGTGTTGTGGATAACACACAAAATATTAAGATTTTATTGACAAAATCACTTCTGTAAATAAAAACTGGTTTTAATATAAGTAAAAATAAAACATTGTTTCAATTGAAAGGAGGACTTAAGCTTTTTAATAGGAAAACAGTTACGTCACGTTTTATTTCAAATATTTCAGCAAATTTTGTAGAGATTTCTTTGGTATCCTGTGGTTACGCAGTATGTGATTCTACACAGAATCACATAATGTAATATACAGTCTTTTTTCTGCAGGTTTTTTCACTGCGACATATTCACAAAGCTAATCTACCTACTAGGTAAACCCAGATAAACTTCCTGATACCCACACAAGATAGGAAATCAGTGTTTGTGATAGGGACTTCCAAAAGAACTCTGTGACTTCTCAACCTAAGATGTAGTGCTGGAATTTTTAATAGTGGATATGCATTCTTTTACATTTGCATTATCATTGCTTGCTTCTTTATTATACACTAAATGCTTGAGATAAGAATGAAGACCATCTCTAGGGAAATGGAAACCAGAGGAATGATCCTCCTATATTTTGCAGATTTTCTTCCAGTTGCCAAGATCCAGTACTCACTGTTAGAACAATCTAATCCGTAGAATCATACCTTAAAGGAAAAAAAAATGCATGTTGACATATTGTGATCTGGTTGAAATTGAAAATCAACACCCATAACTGAGGTAAACTATTTCTACACCTTCAGAGAATTAAAATGGAACGTCAATTTCTAAAAGTTCCACGATCCTTCAAGTACAAATATAATATGCCTTGACGTGTAAATCAGAAGGCCTAGCTGTCATCCGATGGTTCCGTCATTTGAGTTGCTTTCAGGTGATTTCATCACTCTCGCATAGACCTAGAAGAATCCAGCCATGGGTCAGAAGAGAATGAAGGAGGGGCATGGCAGCTCACTGAATTTCAGGGACTACGTATAATTGTTTAACTTCTTTTTGCTCATAAACTCAGTAGGAAGATAAAAGGCTATCAAATTGTTTTTGCAGTTTTTTTATACATTTCTAAAGCCACCAGCTAAAATCCCCCCCCCCGTGAAGTTCAAATATTTATTAATAAGAAAATATCTATACTCTGGATTGACAGATTTTTCGTAGCATTTTGCTTGTTAATATGTATACCACTTTGATGGAAATCCCAGTGTTGCTGTCATCTGACTTAATTTAATCATCAAAGAGCTGTTAGAAAATAAGTAGATTCTGTCACATGAGTATTTCAGCATTGTTTACAAGCTTCAAATACCCGTTTCTTTAAAACATGACTTTTTTTAAAAAAATGTTAGTGTCAGAAAACCTTTTGGTTGGAAATATGGCAATTTATTTTCTGTTTTTAGAGAAAGAAGATAGAGGTTTATGGTCAGATGATCACTCTTTAAGCCAAGGAAGCACACAGTTGTGTTGAAATTGCTATTGAACTCTGCCAAATTCATTAATTGTCAGGACTTTGCAGTCATGTCTGTAATCCTGTTTCTTTTATCTGGCTTATGGGAATGATCAAGCTAACTCTTTTAAATTACATAGTTTTATATTTGTTTATTTTAAATTTACTGAGATACGCTGGCATTGTAAGAACTTTAGGAAATTATCAAACAAATGGCATAGCACTAAAGATGGATTCCAAAATCCCAACTAGCTGGTATTAATGATTCGTCATTTTTTTTTTCACTCTGGTGCTTATTTAACTTTGGTCACAGCACATACTTCCTTTGTGAAGATTAAAGTAGTTCTCTAATCCTGAAATTTCCACATAATCACTACCAGAGTTTTGGAAAGATGAAATGATATAGCACGCCATCATAATGCGTGTCCATGCTGTTGCTATCTGCTTAAGCACCATAAAGCACCCTTAACAACTAGACTCCTTTATCTTTAATTATTATTATAATTATTGTCTTCATCCGGAACTACACATGACTTTGTTTTTAGTGGAGTTTTCTTTCAGCATCAAGAGATGGGAGAGTATATATAGTTAAATGTGAGAATTTACATATGAAAAAAAAGTATACGTATTTTAAGACAAGAATGTAAACATCCCTCCAAAAGGGAAATCATTTTACTACACAGATTGCAATGTCTGCGTTATTTGTCAAGTGTGATGT